TGAGCCACCACGCCCGGCCTCCACTGTCATTTCTTAAGTCTTCAGGTCCACTTTCTTTTCATTTTGTAGAGTCATCCTATGCTTATGAATATTTTTCTTGTCCAGGCATTTTTGATTATAAGAGAGAAGACCTGGGGAGGAAAGAGGTTACTCCATCTTTGCTGGCCCTGGAAATAATACCTGTTTTTTAAAACAACTTTGATGAGGAGAGAGAAAGAGAGTATCTGTGTGCATGAATTATTTAATCTTTGGAAACATGATCAGAAACAAAAGAATAAAATACATAGCAAAACATGGGTATAAGTTCCTCTCCATGCGAAGTATAAGATTTATAATATGCTCTCAATTTTTCTAATTTTAGGATATTATAAAGTTGATGACCACATCAAAGGGATCAAGGAAAAACAAGAGAAGCCTCTGTGGCAAGTAATATTCATTGATGATGAAATATTGAGTAAAGAAGGACAGAAATTTTTAGAAAACCCATTTAATCTAGACATAACTCCAGAGTTTTCAGGAAAAATACCCTGTAAATGTGACTCATGTAGACTGAATTTGCCGATTATTTCTGAATTAATTTTAAGTGAAAGCAACTATTCAAGAAAGAAGCCTGATTACTTGACTGTATGTGAAAGATTGCAGTTTGATATTAACTGTGAGAAAACTCATGCTGGAGATAAATCTTATGAGTATAATAAAAATGTGAAAGCTCACAGTCATAAGAAAGATCACTATCAAGGATTTCAAACTTCGAAGCAATCTTTTGAAAGTAATGAATTTGGAAACGTTTTACATGGTAAGACCGTCTGTATTAAAGCTGGGAGTTTTCCAACAGGAGAGAGTTCCTGTAAGGATGATGAATTTAGGAAAAACTGTGATAAAACCACTTTATTTAACCACATGAGAACTGACACAAAGGAGAAATGCTCTGATCTTAATGAATGTGAGAAACCCCATGACAAAACCACCATTGTGGAATACAATAAAGTTCACATGGCTGTGACACACTATGAACATAATGAAAGTGGAATTAATTTCAGCAGGATGTTACCCCTTACTCAATCTCAGAGAACTTTTACAGGACAGAGTGCTTTTGAAAGCGATAAATGTGAAGAAAACTTTAGCCAGAGCTCAGCCCATATAATACATCAGAAAACACAAACTGGAGATAAATCATGTGTATATAATGGATGTACAGATATCTTCTACCAGAAATTAGACCTTACAATACACCAGAAAACTCCCATGGAAGAGAAATTCTACCAGTCTGGTGAATATGGGAAATGCAAGAAATCGTTTTACCAGAAAGCACACTTCATTCAGGATGAGAGGACCCATTCAGGGGAGAAGCCTTACCAATCTGAGGAATGTGAGAAATCCTTTTGTTCAAATTCACACCCTGTTCAACATCCTGGAACTTACGTGAAGTTCAAACTTTATAAATGTAGTGAATGTGGGAAAACTTTCTGTCAGAAGTCAAACCTCACTAAACATCTAAGAATTCACACAAAGGAGAAACCTTATGGTAACAGTGGCTGTGGGAACTCTTACAAGTCACTCCTCATAGGACACCAGAGAACAGACAGACAGATGAAACTCTATCAAGACAGTGAATATAGGAAAGCATTCTCTAAGGTGGCTCATCTCAAAGAACATCAGAGAACTGACATGGGGGAGAAACCCTATGAATGTACTGAATGTGGGAAAACTTTCTCCAAGACATCACATCTCCAGGCACATCAGAGAATTCACACAGGACACAAACCCTATGAATGTATTGAATGTGAGAAAACTTTCTCTCACAAGACACACCTCAGTGCACATCAGAGAATTCATACAGGGGAGAAACCCTATGAATGTAATCAATGTGGGAGATCTTTTACCTATAATTCAGCCCTAAGAGCACATCAGAGAATCCACACAGGTGAGAAACCCTACGAATGTAGTGACTGTGAGAAAGCTTTTGCCCATAACTCAGCCCTCAGAGCACATCAGAGGATTCACACAGGGGAGAAACCTTATGAGTGTAATGAATGTGGAAGGTCTTTTGCCCATATTTCTGTTCTCAAAGCACATCAAAGGATTCACACAGGGGAGAAACCCTATGAATGTAGTGAATGTGGGAGATCTTTTACCTACAACTCAGCCCTGAGAGCACATCAGAGAATTCACACAGGCAAGAAACCTTATGAATGTAGTGACTGTGAGAAAACTTTTGCCCATAATTCAGCCCTCAGAGTACATCAGAGAATTCACACGGGGGAGAAACCATATGGATGTAATGAATGTGAGAAAAC